GGTAAGTAGACGTGGGATGGTTTTCATGCTGGTCAGACTTAAATACAGGGCTCACTCCTCACTAGAGCAGCATTCAGGTCACTGAGTCACCCTCCATTCTGCTTCTTGGTCTCGCATCTCTTCACCTCCTGACTGCCTAATGGGTCTACTTCAAGAGGAGGGCTGGAGAGTTCCTTAGCTCACTTCTGTGTGGGTGGCCCAGCAATTAGTGCACTTTCCTAGGAAATAGGTGATGTTGGGTCACGTTTCTGATGGGTGATGACTGCCTAGATGCTGAGCAAGTGCCCTAACCACTGAGCAGAAAGGCCAGAGGGTCTGAGCAACAACCGGTTGGTAATCACGTGTTCTGCAGCTACAGCTTTGGGACTTAGTTGTCATACACATATGAGTGTGTAGTGCCCAGGCATCTGTTCAGACACAGTGCAGTCATCTACGCATGCTCAGTAGCTATATGAGAACTGTGTGTAAGTGCATTTAGGCCTGCAGAGGTGAGATACGGTTTAGACCATGATACAAAAATGCTTTAACAGAAAGGTGATTGCAACTGGTACAGGTGACAGCAGGTATCACTACCCCTAGCAGCACTGAATCCTTGCACAGGATGGGGTGACTGGCACTGAGCACTGGCAGTGCCTGTCTTGCATTGCTGGGGCTAGCAGGTGACTGTGTGGGCTCGTGGCCATCGCTGCTCAGCGGCTGTATCTTTTAAGTGCTGTTTTGTCTGATTTTCAGGTCACTGAGAGCGAACCAAATGTGATGTGGCTTGCTGGACTACACATTCCGGAGTCGTATCTCACAGCTCTTGTACAAGCCACATGCAGGAAGAACAGCTGGCCACTGGATCGCTCCACTTTGTACACACACGTGACTAAGTACAGCACTGCTGAGGAGGTCACCGAGCGCCCCGGACAAGGTAGCACTTAGTTCAGGCACAGGTTGAGAAAGGCGACCCGCAATGAACAGCCTCTAGAGGCCCATTAATAGCAAAAAGTGTCTTCACAGGAGCAACTTGGTGTTTTTTCCCATAGATGCTTTAGACAAGCTGTTACCTTTTTCTGTCTTTCTGCAGGATGTTTTGTTTCTGGTCTGTATCTGGAAGGAGCAGACTGGGACATTGAGAACAGCTGTCTCATCAAGAGCAAGCCCAAAGTCTTGGTGGTAGATTTGCCTATTCTAAAGATCATTCCTATTGAAGCTCATAGACTCAAGCTACAGGTATGACCACTCTGCTGATAGCAGGTGTTACAAGTTTTTTGTTGCTATTACCTAGATTGCTTGCCAGTCCCCTTTCTCTGTCTGCAGACAGAGTACGCACAGGCATTTTAGTAGTATACTAATATCACTGTTTAAGGATGATTTCTAGTATGACATGTACACTACCTCATTTTTCCTCCCTCAAGTAGTTGTCTCTACTAGTATCTATCAGCTTAAGCGCCTTTTTTTATCAGTAACTAACCCATATATCCTCAGCCAATAAAATTATGAAATAAAAATAAGCAACTGCTCAAAAGATGCTGGGCTTGCAGTAACCCCCCCAAGTCCTTGGATGTTACAGGTAAATTGTATTTCAGCTTTTTTCTCTTCCATCTTTGGGCTTTAGCACAGTAAATCCCAGTTTCTAAAGCCACTGGCTACACTAAATATAAGGGTCCACTTCTGCAGACACTAAGCCCTGCTTAGGCTGCTTATCCCTGGGCTTAATTTTATTGTATAGAGCAGAACGACTTCCATGAGCAAAGGTTGTGCGGGGCCATGTCCTCCCTTGTACCTCAAACAATACCTGCCATGCTCATTTACTTTCCCTTTCTTTTAGAACACATTCCGGACCCCTGTATACACAACTTCCATGAGAAGAAATGCCATGGGTGTTGGCTTAGTTTTTGAAGCAGACCTTTTCACCACAAAGCACATTTCCCACTGGGTGCTGCAAGGGATTTGTCTCACTTTGAATGCTGACTGACACCAGAAAACATCAACTGCTGGATTTTCCATGCACAGAATCCATTGCTGGCACATGAAATCACTTTGCACCAAAAAGCATCAGGTCAGTTTTCCGTAGCTCAGCGTGTCAGGGGAGTTCAAAAGAGTTGCTTTAAAGAGGACGGCTGACAGAGATTTTTTAAATTAAATATTTGCAGCAGTTTTTACTAAGCTGGTAGGCTTTAGCAGTACAAAGTGCATCTGATTTTGCTACTTCAACTCTGTTATCTATGTTTGAAAAAAATAAAAGGGACATCAGCCATTTGTGTTTCCTTTTAGGACCTCTTCAGTTTAAACCACTAGTTCTGAATGTTTTGATAGTCAAGGCACCCCCTCATTAGACTCAAGGTCCCCATGAAAAAGGTCAGCTCTTAAGTTTCGCTTGTTTTTTGACTATATAAAAATAACGGAGAGGTTTTTTGTTGCAAAAAAGTCAGAAAGACCACAGCAGGGCAGAATGTTTTTCTTTAACACTGGGTTGACCTTGAGAATTATGTTTGCACACCTAACAGTGCCTTCCATGTGGTACCTTTGGAAGGATCTCACCCCAGGGTGCCATCGCACCCTGGTTGCAAATAATTGATCTAAAGGAGGTGGGTTGATGCAGCAGGTGAAGTGGTAACACACTCAAATGAAGCACACACACATACTGTAAGGAACGTTCATGATTGTAAGAAACTTGTTTTTAATTATCCAGTGCATCACTTCTAGTGTCTTTTTTAAGAGACTTCTTCCATCAGAGAACAAACAATTGCGTTGTTCAGTCATACAGCAGGTTGCCACAAAAATATGGCGACAGTCAAAACCAATGCTGGTTAATGCAATACACTTTAAAATGGTAAAACATTAAAACCACACACCTTCTTTTAACCATTTTCCAAGGACGTGGGTCTTTTTCTTTTATAAAGAAATCCTAACGAAACTTGGTGTATACTACCAAAACACAGTGCATGTGATTGACAGAAAATGCTGAGCAGGTTAATGCCAAAGAGACGGTGGACTGTCTTTGAAGAAGCAAGCCTTTGGGGGCTAGTCAAGATTAGTGTCTCACTAACTTGCGAGAATGGTGATACAGCCCCTGCACCCTATGGGTATGCTCGAGTGCACATTTTAGACGTGTCAAAACTAGCAAAAATGGCCTTTTTCGTGCTCAGGAAACTAATACTTATACAAGGCAGAGGAGACCAGAATCACACAGGGTGTTAATTGTGGAAAGAGGAGTAAAGGCAAGGCTGCAGTGCCATGGGGAACAAGAGGCAGATAGGGATCTTTATCAGCGTGAAGTATTGCATTGCTGAAGGCACACTTATTTATGTGTAAGAGCTGGGCGTCATTATTTTCCACTGGTTTTACTGCAATTGAGTAGACAGAGCAATACCACAAAGAGGGGAGTGAGAGCATACCTAACAGATTATGGTCCCTTTATGCTCTTTCCCAATAAATCAAAGCGCAAATGCTGATATGAGCAAGCTGATTCCTTTTTCTTTGGGGGACAAGCACACTGCTGGAAGATAGTTCCTTAGGCCAAGCTAAAGACAAGCCACATTCCCCTGCCCCTTGCCCTCCCACATGACAGAATGAGAAAAGGTAAGGCACAACACATGAGATTTCCCCACCTCCATAAAGTATTTGGAGAACTAGGGCTGAGGGTTACTAAAGACTAGCCAAGGAAGCCTGGCAGCTGATGTGGGGGTGGGAGGGTAGTCTGGGTTAAGCACTCCCAAGTTAACTGCCCCACATCCCAGCTAAAACATTATCTTTTAAATATTGAGGAGCTGATAACCCCCCCCC